TTGTTGTTAGAAGTGCGATTCAAATTGTTGTTTTGACTATTTGATCGAATATTAAATGCCATAACAGAATCATTTGAAGGAATACCTATGTCTCGCTGCCTTTCTTCTTGAATGAGTAGTGAAAAAATATGATTGACTGATGGAATTGGATCCATTAGCAAAATTTGACCACGAATTTGAGAATAGCTATCATTCAAGTCCATGAGAAAACTCATAATCTGTTCAATTTCTTTCGCACCTCCACAAGTACATTTTCCACAAGTGCAATTATGATTATAATTGGCTAATTCTTCCCAAAGCATCTTCAATTTCGTATAGTAATTGCTAATGGAATCCTGACCTTGTGTAAGATTCATAAGGTTTCTTTTGATTTGAAAGATTCTCGGTCCATTGCGTTGCTGGAAACGTTCCCAAAGTTTCTTCCACATATCAGATGCAGTTTCAAGATATATGATCGATGCAGAGATTCTTCCATGAAATAACGATGTTGTTATTTCTAAGCCATAATTTTTGCCTTTCTGGATCTGAATCGTTTGGTTTAGGTAAAGAATTATCAACAAATTCGAATTTGTTCTTGGCAGACAATGCAATCTTCATTGAACGACTCCACGATGCGTAATTATCCCCAATTAGGATTTGAGAAGGAAGAATAGATCCCGGATTATCATTATGATGGATGAAATAAGGATCATTCGATGATTGATTATGATGATTCGTGTTATTTGAACTTTCAGCCATTGAATCGGAAGAATTGATTATGATTCAGATGGAGAAGAAGAAAAAATCAAAGAAGAATGAATCAAATACAATTAGCGATTAGATTCAAATTGCGGAAGAGAGATTGATTCAAAGAATCAAAAGAAAATCAAAGAAACGGAGCATGAAAAATCTCTGATACCATTTTACATTTAGAACAAAATAACATGATAGAGAATAAACCTATAATCTCTCATTAATCATCATTGAAGCTACATACAAGGATTATATACAAAGGATTAAAATGCACCACTGGTGCTAACTTGCACCTACCTAATTTTACTAAGAGCATCCACAATGGGAGTTTAATGGAAGAGTTGAATGAGGTGGCATGCCTACTTGTCATTCAATGGATACAACTCAACCATTGTGAAATGTCACATTGGCATTCAATGAATTTGGAGTTCAATGGTCATTGAACTCTTCAATGGGAAAAAGAAAAGTCTTTAAATCTTTAAATAAATATAACAAATTAGTTTTTGTAGACTTTTATATATATATATATATAGATATATATATATATATATATAGATATATATATATATATATATATAATATGATTTTAAAATTCCAAGTCTTAGAAAAAAAAGAGTCTGCGTAAAAGTAAGCAAAAAAAGGATAATTAATCACATTAACAAAATGGGCCACATGATTTTTTTTATTTAATAACCTACAAACAAACAATAAAAAGAAAAAAAACAATCATACAATATTATAAATAGATAAAAAAAATAGATTAATGTTTCCAATTTAACTCATTCTAGAAATATAATACTAATATATTATACGACTCAAACTTGATGAAATTACATATTAATTTTGATCGTTGTTTTGTAAAAACCGTTCCCAAATATGTTCCATTAAATCATGTCGAAGTGCGTGATGCACTTCACTATCACGTAGTTCAGCGTTTCTTAAAATTTGATACTGAATTTCTTGGGCTGGTCCTCGATGTACACGTATTGGAGGATCAACATCATCCGACCAATTACTAATCGCATTTCCTTCGTCCTCTACGATCATATTATGTAATATAATGCATGCATACATTATATCTTTTATATTCTTGAGTTGCCAAGATCTTGGTGGTCCTCGTCCAATTGCCCAACGAGATTGAAGAACACCAAAAGCTCTTTCGACATCCTTTCTTGCACCCTCTTGGACTTCTTTGAATTTTGTCCTCTTTGGGTCAACCGGATGTGGAAAACTTTTAACTATAGTAGCCCATTCGGGATATATACCATCTTCGAGATAATATCATTTATTGTATGTAATGTCATTCACTGTGAATATGCATTCTGGAGTATACCCTTGTAATATGTCATTGAATAACGGTGATTGATTGAGTACATTAATATCATTATTAGATCCTGCTACCCCAAAATATGCATCCAAAGGTATTGTGATGCAACTGCTTCTAGCATAATTGTTGGACACCCTTGATCACCCCGAGTATATTGACATTGCCATGCGACAAGACAATTTTTCCAAGGCCAATGCATACAATCAATACTTCCTAACATGCCAGGAAATCCATGTTTTTCCGAATGTTTTTGCAATAAATTTTGGATATCATTAGCATTAGGCTTTCTCATGTAATGGTTTGAATAAACCTCAATTAAACATCTACAAAAAAAATTTAGACATTTGATTGATGTTGTTTCACCAATTCGTATGTATTCATCAAAAAGATCAGCCGTTGTGCCATATGCTAACTGGCGTATGGCAGCTGTGCATTTTTGTAAAGGGGAAAGACCTTTTTTTACCTAAAGCATCAAATTTTTGTTGAAAAAAAAACAGAATGATTAGAGATACCATCAACTATTCGAAGAAATAACTCCTTCCTCATCCGGAATCTTCGTCGAAAAATATTAGGCGGATAAATAGGATGATCATCGAAATAGTCGTTCCAAAGACGATCATGTGCTAATTCACGATCTCTTTTAATATATGTTCGACTTCTTTTAGGACGTCTTGAACTTTCTGCATCATCTTGTTCTGCTTCTAAGCATTTAAGCTCATGATACAATTGAATTATTGAATTATCTGCCAATTGTTTCATTATGAAATCATAACTACAATCGGATGAAGATGATGACATTTTATGCAAAATATATCAACAAAGATATAATTTTGAAGGTGTGTGGTTGATTTATATTCTTATATACAATATGAGGATCATAATTGATTCAAATGGAAGTACGTGGGATAATATTTTATTTAATAGAAAATATTTTGGTGATATTTAACAAATAGAAAATATATGAAAATATATGGATGACAATCATGATATATCTTATTTATGTATACAAATCATTATATATGTAAAAATAATTAATTTAATCATCCACTAAAATTTGACTCAAAATATAATATATTTCCTTAAAAATATTATAAGATTTGATTCATACAAAACATAATATATGGATGAAAATATTATAAGATTTGAAAATGTTATATGATTTGATTTTAGAATACAAAATATAATATTTGGTTGAAAGTATTATTATATTTGTATATATATGGTAACAAGACAATATTTGCATGAAAATATTCTTAAACTTAAAAATACAATATGATTTGATTTCAAAATATAAAAGTATATATTTGAAAGAATACCATTTTGATGAAATATGATACATCGAAATATTTGACTCAAAGTAACTATTGTTGATTCTCTTCCATATCTGAAGTCTATGTTAGCAAGGAGTAATCCAAATTATTACATTAATAAAATATAAATTAATAATGGTAATTGAATTTATAATTAATTGTCATCCAAATTACTTGAAACTTTTATGCAAAATCCTTGAAATTTCATACAGAATATTTGGAGAATATTAAACATCTTATGAAAAATATCATCACTTTATGCAAAGTGTTCATATTTGGATGTGCCGATAACATTTTTCCTATAAAAACCTCTATTGTGATCATTTTCATTACATGATCTCCTCACTCATACCCTCCATACTTAAATCATGAATTCTTATTATTACACAAACCTGTTGAATTCTGTTGATCTCGAAAATTCAAACAATCATCCATACCCACATTTTTCATCTCCAATTTCTCCCAACCCAAATTATCCATGCCCAAATCCTTCTCAAAATCAATATCCAAACCCCCCTCAAAATATGGAACCTACTCCAGAAGTTATTCCCACCAACAAACGATCCAAGTCTAAGAAAACCTATTGGAGTAGGGAAGAAGAAATATTGCTTGCAAAAGCTTGGTTACATATATCAGAAGATAGCATCAAGGGCACAGCACAACGCGACAAGGAGTTTTGGCAACGTATCAACACGTACTACCAAAGTTCCAACACAACAGGCACTATAAGAGCTCAAACAAATCTTAAAACACATTGGCATTACATGAACCCACTAGTTGTTGCATTCAATCAAATTTATTTAGTGTCGAAAAGTCAACACCTAAGCGGATGCTCCGATGAAGATTTAAAAAAGGGAGCTTTTGAGCATAATAGTGCAAGATATTCTACAGATTTCAGGCACGATCACATTTGGAATTTGGTCAAAAATGAACCCAAATGGAAAGTCGCGGGCACTACATCCGAGGCATCTAGATCTTCATCTAATGCACAATCTGTTATCAACTTGGATGATAACGAAGATACATTTCGTCCAATTGGTACGAAGGCAGCCAAAAAAGCTATAAAAGGCAAAGCGTCCAAGTCTACCTCGTCATCAAGTAGTCGACTTGATGAAATACTTGAAAAACATGTGCATGATAACAAAAAAAACTATGAACGCTATCAGAAATCATTGGATTTAAAAAACGCTTTAAAACAAGAAAAGATTAAAGTTAAACAAGAAAAAATCAAACATGACGAGATGTCAATCTTCTTTTTGGACCCGAGTACCATGTCAGAGGAGGGACGAGATATTTGGAGGAACCGTTGTGAGGAGATCAAAATAAAATACAATATTTTGTAGTTATTGTATTTTTAGGTATTTTAATTTTAGTTAATGTCTTTTAATTATTTTATTTCTTTTTTCTTTTAATGAATGCATTTTTCATTTTTTTTATTTTTATTAATGTATGTTTAGCTATTAAATAAATGAATGTTTTTTAGCTATTAAATAAATAAATACTTTTTTAATAAGTTCCATTGAACTTGTAGAGTTTAATGCATTGTGGGATAAAAATGAATAGAGTTGTATGAAATAGTAAATGATGATGTGACACTCCATTGAACTCTATAAATCTATAGAGTTCAATGTATTGTGAATGCCCTAACTCTGTACAAATAAGAAACGACACAGTTTAACTAAACAGCTAACTGTCATATGAGTCCCAATAAATAGCATATGGAATGTAAACATTGAATTAAAATCACAATGTGAAAAAAAAAATTCTCAACAACTCAACCATCAATGTCCATAGAGCTTGTAGGTTGTATAGTAGGAGTTGTCTTCTCACTATTTATACGAAGAATATCTAAGAACTTATCAGCCATACTCAGCGAGAGAGTTGCTTCCACGTCAGCATCTGCCGCCTCATCACATGAAATATCTTGATAGGTCATGGAAATCGGAGCACCCCGTGAATTTCTTATAACCTTCTTTTGGCTACCTTTCTTCTTTAAAAAAGTCTTTTTACTATTCATGGATGTGACTTGGCTTCTCTCGACAGGATATGACTTCTCATCCAAACATGCTATTCATCACAAAAGATAATTCAAAGTCAGAAACAAAGTGAAGGAAAAAAAAAATAAAACAAGGTTTGTTTATTATCCTTACATTCTAGAAAAAGAAAATAAATAAATACAATATCCATCAACTTTTATGTGAGCTGTTGGGAGTATTACACTATTACTATTACCTCTTCTAACAATAGAGTGGTTGAACCATGTTCTAGAAACAATACGAATGTGACCCCATCTTTTCGCAGCATTGTATTTGTCACCTTTAGGAGCGTGGGTTAAAAAGGTTAAGATACACATTAACTTTCAAGACAATTTACAAATTACAACATGCAATACACTTAAAGTATGATTAAACATGATTCACAAAATGATTATAGTTAAGGATATATCACACACTAAATGAGTTGTCTTTCTTGTGAGTCGAGCACAATATTTCCCCCCGTTTTGTAGGATAAGTTTTTCTATCTCCTTACGCTCATCTATGAGAAACAAACATATTACATGAAAAAGTTAAAAAAAAAATGTTAATAAATTCACAGTTAAAGATTGTCAACCTAAAGGCACTTGGGTGATGCTAATTGTCAACCCATAAAATGGTAGAACTCTGTATGGGTCACTAGAAACAATACGATGCTCTTTCCAGCATTGATGTAGCCAATTCTCGGTGACAATTGGTTTCTTCAAATTGTTCAAAGCCCACTACAAAACATGTAAATAAAACCAAAGTGGATGACGACTCAATATGCTTCAAAATAAAATTATTGACAAAAAGTAATATAATAGAAAGTAAATACTTTGTATTTTGCAGCTAATACGTTCTTCACAATGACAAAGGTAATGTCTGATGATGCTTTAGTTTGTAATGAACCTCCCATAGAAGTCACTAACTTGTTAATCTCATCCTACAAGACATTTTAGAAAGAAAAAAAATATATGTAGTTAGATGGGTAAGAATAGAATTTTTTTTAAAAGATATATTTACATATAAAATTTTAAAATAGGATGAGTAAAGAAACTATGAAACATCAACAATACTTGTAAAGATTAGTAATAACCACATGAATAGAACCTTTTGCTCCATTTGAAAGCCAGATGCCAGTATCTTGACTCCATCCATAGGAATACAACATGTAAATCCTTGTTTTGGAAACACTCTATGTTCTTTTACACACGACAAAACACATTTAGGACCTGAAAAAGGAAAAAAAAATAATACTTTCAAGTTTCAAATGCATCAGTTTCTTGTAGAATGAAGCACCATAATGGACTCTTTAAAAGGTATTGTATTAAGTTCAAATTAATATTCTCATGTAATTTAGAATAGAGGTGAAATGATGAATTATTGTTAATTGTTCGAATAAAATTAACAGCCATACCAAGCAAATTACAACCTTTCTGGAGTAGATCATTGAACTTTTCCTGCAAAAATCATAGGAAACAGTTGATAAACTTCAAATTCTTAAAAATACACAGGCAATATTTACCAATACTAATACAATATGTATATACATGATCTCGAGAGGAGATAATGTGGTAATCATCAGGTCCATTTCTGGAAGGATCACAACAAAGGAAGATCTCAGCTCCATTGTCGTTCAAAACGTCATGAAGAGAATCGAATATCTCAGGCGGCACTAAATCCCTAGACATGAACACATTCGCTCCCTTGAACGTCGTCTTCCTCATCGTCTCCTCAATCTTTACTCCGCTTGCGAAATAGAAGAGAAAAAAAATATTATTTATCGACAAATTTGGATTGAGCAGGATCAAGTTTCGTAATCCAGCAAAGTAGCAAGCTTCATATAGCATCGAAGATTGATTTGCAATACACAAATTGATACGATTAAGTAATTAGTTGCGTAAATCAAGGAGACAATTACGAAGAATCTATTGGATTCAATCCAAAATATGGGAAAGAAATCGCTAGAAAATAATGGGTGGATTGGGTGATCTGCTTTTCCTTTTGAGTCGTAGGGGGAAGAGGGTTTTCGTTGCTCGTAAACGAAAAGAGTAAATTACCAGAATGGTCCATCTCGTTTGGGTAATTTGTGAGCTTCCTCCTTAACTCTCTTTTTTAACTTAGATAATCCCCAATGTATGTTTTTGTTGTGTAATTGCTCCCTGGTCAATGTAAAAATACGGATTTGGTGTTACTTATTTCTTTTATCTTTTTAAAATTATCATTAAATATGCTAGAACAAGTATAATTCACATAAATATGTGGGTCTCGTTAATTGAAAAACCTAGACTTACCCACACCTCATCCCCCTCTTGTGTTCCATCACCGGAAAAAACACCTCCGACCACCACCACCACTAACCATGGATGCAAACCTCCTTGAGTCGAGATTTCACCCACCAAAAACCAAAATTAAACTCATGGCTTCTAAGATCAAGGAGTGACGATGAAGGATTGCGAGAGGTTGTGAGATGTGAGAGGGAAAGAGGATGTCAAAAGGAGGCGAGAGAAACAACCAACCACCCACCTTACAACCACATTTGTTCTAATGTTAATACATTTGTCTTGCTTATCTGTATTCTTGGATTAACGATTAACGATATTGTAGTGTAGGAGATTTTGAAGTACATTGATGAGAAGAAGTTATTCATGAATTTGAAAAGGTAATAATTTTAATTAACGTATATTAAGTGAATGTTTTGTTTACATGAAATACATTGCAGGAACATCATTACCAAAGATGATGTTAATCTAGAAATAATAACATGTGGACAACATTTCAAATCGTACCGGTCGGACTTGGAAAAGGAACTATATTGTGAAGTAGTATAAGTTATACATATTGTTATGACTTCGGTTGTTTCTTATTTGATTACTTTTTGAAGCCAAGAGGTCTTGAAAAGGGAACAAATGTGCTCATCTGCTTGCTGTGTGGAAATGGGATGAGTTTATTGGATGGAAAGCACCGGAGATGTTGAATTCCCCTTTGAATTAGACACATATGATACAGTTGATTCATTGATATGTCATTCTATTGGATCATAGTATATATAAAATAGTTTCTAGAATAAACAAGAAACTGCAATGAAAGTGATATAAAAACAAACACTATGATTAAAGTAAATAGGTTGTTTCTATAAACGAACAACCCGTCTCTTGAACTTCTAATCCGTCTGTCTCGGTATTGAAGTCATTAATTTAATGATTTTGTAAACTCGTCTTAATCAGTATCACAGTTCCACCAATTATATATACAACAATTATATCTACACTTGATAGACTACATGTATCTGATATACATACCACAAACAATATATAACATATTGAATTTATAAGGAGAGAACTGAACAACCCAACCGGTTACAAAGCATTTCAAGGCACAATAAATTGCACGACATGTGGACAACCAAAAATAGTCACCACACGATCACAACAAAGGTTTTTTCCTGCCATTTAAGGGCCAACGTACAACTCGTAACCTCAACCTACCATAGAGTTTCTCACAATAATACTGCACGTCGTAAAACAAAGTCTTCCTAGAAGATGTAATTCTCAAATAGAGCTCCACTAGGCATGTCTTGTGGCCTAGAAATACGCTCTTTAGGACAAATCAACAAAAATTCTCTTAATTTATATAAGATATAGATTTTAACTATTGTATTTGTTATTATAAACTAAATTACATTTATTTATGATATATATTGATTTAATGTTTATATTTCAGATTTGTTTATCTACTTAAGAGTATTGAGAGCTTTTCATTTTTTTGGTAGAGTTTTTATGAAAAGTCTTATTTCTCTATTATAAAAGATTTTTTTTATTAATGTGACCGTCTATTTACAGCTAATTGAAAACTTATAAGACTCGCAATAAATAACCAAAATTTTCAAATTTGCTTATTCGTATTAATTTTTTGTCTATTTACAGCTAACTAAAAACTTATAAGACTCATAATAAATAGCCTTCTTCATGCTTATTAACAACTAGGTGTGAAACTCATGTATTATATGAGTTTATTTTAAAAAAAATATGAAATTTTTACAATTTGAGAAATTTGAATTTATAAGAAAAATGAAAAAAAAAATTATTAAAATTAATGAGGCTGTAATACATTGAATACATTACATATATAAACCATTTCTAACAAATACCTTACATATATATTACCTTACATATTAAATGTGGAATTTTAATTTAATAAAATGAAAAATACAATAAAATGACAAGTGAAAAATAGAAAATTTAAAAAATCTAGAATATGTCATGTATTTAAATGAATAAGAAGATGATATGTGGCAAAAAGATTTTGATTTATTATAGAGGAAGCATTTGAAAAATGTTTGGTTTAAAATCTTCAATAGTTACTTTTTTTATTTTCAAAAAGTTTTTTATTTGAAAAAACCTTTAAAAAACTTTGTTGCAGATGCCTTTATCTTTAAATAATATATATAATATATATATTATATATATATATATATATATATATATATATATATATATATATATATATAAATTCAGATTGGTTAGAATGATTTCAATTTAAAAAAGTCATTCTACCAAAAATTATATAAACTAGGAGGAAACCCGGGCTTCGCCCCGGGATGTTTTTTTTGTGTTTTTTATGCCAAAATGTAAAAGTTTTGACTGCAAGAACCAGAATTGTGACGAAAACCTAAAGACATTAAAGGTTACTATTGCTAAGCTCAATGAGCTTTAATATATATATATATATATCTATATATATATATATATATATATATATATATCTATATATATATATATATATATATATATAATTAAAATAGTAAAAACTATAAATATGTAAAAGTATTAGTGAAAAGATATATAAATCAAACAAAATACATAAAATATTTACTTTTTTTTTAAATGTAAAAATCAAAACTATTATAATGAATTTTTTTAAGGAAATCACCAGAAAAGTCTCAATATTTTGAAAAAATTTACGTTTTACTCCAAAAAAAATTAAACAGAAAAGCCTAGGATACTAGATAGATTGAACACATCTAACACTTTCTTCAGGTGACCCCATTTAAACGATGACCCTTGCTAATGTGGCCATGACTTGATGAGATGGTTGATGAGTCAATAAATAAGGATTGTTGAGATTGTATTTAATTTCTATTAACCCTCATTCTTGCCCTAAAATCGCACCAGGAGGATCAATTTCGTCATCGTGTTCTGTTGCAAGCCAAATGCCAAATCGTTTGAGAAGCAGGTGCTATTGTGGTGTTGTAGGAAGATGGACTTCATGGACTCCCTTCAATCCATGAAAAAGGTTCATAGGTTGCCCGAATTACCAGGATGAACTCAAAGACTGCAAGTACTTTCTTTGGATCGATCCACGCCAACAAAAGCAGTAGTATGCAAACTTGTTATTAGAATTTCACAACAATGTCAATTTGGAGAACCATGCAATATTTGCAGAGTTTCTGCAACAACAACCAATGGGGAACCCTAGAATATTTGGAGACTTTTGTGGAACAACAACCTCTACAACAACAGGTGGAAGAAGTGGGCATTCAACATGGAAATCAAGGTGGAAGATGGAAACCTTACTAAGCTAAGAAATGTGTTTGTTGAGTAAGATCGGCTTTCTTCGAATGCTTAAGTAGTGTTTTATGTGTTTTTGGTTTCTTATGTGTTTGTGTTTGTGTTTGTTATGTTGAAGGATTGGTAGGATAGGCACAAAATGGATTGAAAGTAATTTTAATGTGTTTTGGCTATGTCTGTTTCGATTATGACTAAGGATTGTTAGGCTAGTATGAATGTATCAAATGTTGTTATGTAATTAGGGTGTAGTATTTTGTGTCCATTAACTCTTTCACAAATTGCCATGCTAACCAGGTAGGATTCATAAACTTTGAATTGTTAAAATTTCTAACACATGTATGTAGGTCTACAATCTTTTTTTACTTGGAATGACCTTTCGGTACTCATCCAAGAAGCCCTAATTATGAATGGGTACTTATTTGGATCATTGCCACATATTACCATTAGTCTAACATTATCACACTTTTTGAAAACGAATTTGATAACCCTTGTTACTAATGTTAGTGTCATAGTTGGTTAAACACAAATTCAATTCATGTGAGGATTCATACATTTCACGACACACTAGTTTCATTAAGTTCCATTTCACCTTTGGGTTGTGGGTGGAACACTCGAAATCATCTTCACTATCTTCATCATCACTGCCTTCCACATAGTTTTTGTCTGATTATTTTTCATTGTTTTGAGGTTCAACACCATCTTTTGCATCATCATCTTATTCACAAAGAAATATTGATAAACTGTCTTCACATCAGAAAATTGGTTTCCTTCTAAAATACTCATCAAGCTCCACATCAATGGTATCTAAATCATGGATCTCTTCCATTTTCACCTATATGTAGGTCTTTAAGAAGGGTAAAAACGCTAATTTACTGAGAATGGTGAACGAGAAAGGGGGAAAGTGAGCAAGGATGAAATGAGAGAAGACTTTGAGTATGAGTCCACAAAAGCCACTTAATGCCGCATCACCAAGGGTTGCTTGAGGGTCACCGGAAGAAATGAGCCCACGTGTTCAATTTATCCGGTATCCTAGTTTTCTCACGTTCAAATATATATATATATATATATATATATATATATATATAGAACTAAACCATAAATTTTCCTAAAATATTGGAAGGTTTATGAAGATTTCCCCAAAATTTACACTAAACTATCCAGATTTTACCCTTTCTTTCCGTATCAAATCACAAAAATAATTACTCATATATATAACTCAGATCTGTGCCATTACGTTTAAACGAAACTACAAATTTAACTATCGTTATTTTGTTGGAGAAACTGGAGATCTTTCATTTGCAGCTGCACAGCTTCTTTAGACAACGGCTTCGGCTCCGGGAACCTGTCTTCTTCCCCTCCTTCCGCTACTTTTTTAGCCTTCGCCTTGACAATCCTATCGATCTCCTTTTGTCCAACAGAAGGAAAAACTACTTTCAACATTATACGCAATTGTCTCTCATCTTCTTCATCAATCACATCTCTTCCAAAACAACACACGTATATCGCATCCAACGCCTTCTCAGCTCTCGCCTCCATTGGAATCGTCGGTGCAGGTACTTTTGACTTCAATCTTCTCTGTATTTCAACAATTATATCACAATTTACGATTCATGAAACGTTTAATTTGATGTTCATAAGTTTTCGAAAATCATAAACGATTAAACGAACCTCTCTTGCTTCATTCATCATCGCGATGAAAGTTTCTTCTTCGAATTCAATGTCGTTCGAGATCCGAAGTCTCGTAACTCCTTCGAGAATTTCTTCAGATTTTAGCAATCCCGCTCCTAATGCAGCTAGCCAACAGCACATCAACACGTATAGAGGATCTCCTGCCTATTTCGCGATTAAATCAGAAACAAAATCGTAAGTTCGAGAAACCCTAGAATACGATGAATTTTGAATTATTTGTTCGCGATAGATTAGGAATGGAGTGATGGAGGAGTAGGTACCTTTCCTCT